TTTTTGAGGCAAGAATGGGCCATTAGATCTAGTCTGACCTGCTATATAATATAGACCAAATAACTTGACCCAGTTACTTCTGTATTGAGTCTTGTTTGACTAAAGCATGTCTTCCAGAAAGGCATCTACTCTTGATTTAAAAGACTCCAAAAGATGGAGAATTCACCACTTCTCTTGATAGTTTGTTCCAATGGTTAATAACCCTGAATGTTTGGGTTTAAAAAAAAAAAAAAAGGTGCCTTTTCCCTGACTTGAAGTGTCTGGTTCTAGCTTCCAGCCACTGGTTCTTGTTGTTCCTTTCTCTGCTAGATTAAAGAGCCTTTTAGTACCTGTTTAGCTTTTTTTTTTTCTTCTGTGAAGTTATTTCAAGTATACCCTAATCAACTCACATCTCAAACGTATTTCTGATTAAACAAATTCCTGATTGAGCTCCTGAAGTCTTTCACTGTAGAGCATTTTCTCTGATGCTGGAATTTTTTTTGTGGCTGTTCTCTGCACCCTCCTTCATTTTTCAACAGCCTTTTAAAAATGTGAACAGTAGAATCGGACAAAGTATTCCAGTATCATTTTCACCAATGCTGTGTAACAATATTCTTCAATTAATGGCCCATGGGCCAGATCCATCCTGGTAGGGCCTTCCATTTGGCCCACTGGGTTTTAGCTGTTCCATCCTCCTGGGAGATCCAGCTCCTTTCTGGGCTCTCAATGGCTCTTCTCCCTACATTCCCCTGATGGTCCTGACTTCAGCATCCCCACTGGCTGGAGGGGCCTGGGGCAAGCTGGAGTCAGATAGCAGGGCCCCCAGCAGGAAGGGGAACAGCTGATGCCTGGTAGGCATAACGAAAGGCCCAACAGGTGCCTCCAGTCACTGAACCCTTCTGCCAGGTTGCCTCTTTCCTTCCCTGGCTGCAGAGCATCCTCTGAGCTGGCAGTTGCTGGCCTGGGTGGAGTAGTGGTGCTCAGATGCGTGTAAGGGCGGAACCACTGCAGCCAGGACCACCAGGGGAGTGCAGGAGCTGGAGCTGCTGGGAGCCATGGGCCCAGCCAGAGCTGAGTAGTGGGACCATCCCTGGTCTGCTACCAAGAGCTGAGAGCGGAGCTAGAGCTGCGTAGCAGGGCTGTCCGTGGTTGGAGATGGAGCCAGGTAACAGGGCTGTCTTTACAACAGATTCTCCAGATGGGAGCAGGAGTCAGGGGAGGCAAGAATGGGACAGGCTCTGGGTGGAGTAGTCCCCGTGCTACTCTGGCTCTCCCCCAGTTCCCCCACTGTCCTCTCTTCCTCCCAGCTCCCTGCACTCAAGCAGCACTAAGGAGGCTCCTGTCTCCTGCAGCTACTCCCCCCCTCTCTTTTCCCTTGGGACAGAAAATGCTGATTACCCAATGAGCATGGGGGATATACTGTTCATCTGGATAATCAGGATTTTGGGTAAATTGAAATTCAGATAAACAGACTTTAACTGTACATGGCATGATGGTAATCAGAGGGAAAATATACTGAAGTGCATCCCAAAACTTGCCCCTGATGGGACTATCAGTCTGTGTGCCATTCAAAAACCAGCCGATGTACAATCTCTGGCATGCATGCCATCAGTTGCCAATCCCTATCAGATGGGTGAAGAATTTGTGTGCTTTCTCTAGGGAGCAAACACCTGAACAGCTCTTTGCTTCTCCAAGATTTGAACATTGCTTTATCTGGCCCCTCAAAAATAGAATTGAACACCACTGCTGTATAAAGTGGTTTATTAATCTTAGCCAGTTATTAATCTGTCTGCTTTATTGATATTGTATAATGTGAAATTTGTAATGACTGTCATGTGGTACAAAGGAAACTGCCTTACAGAAGTCTAAGTAAATTACAGCTATGCAGTTACCTTTATCAACCAAAATTGTAATCTCACCAAAAAATTAAATTTTGTATGATAAGACCTATTTTCTATAAAATCATGTTGACTGGCACTAAGTATATTCCCATCCTCTTATTCTTTTCCATGATTTTTTTCTAAGACGAGACAACCTGTAATTACATGGGTCATCCCACTTACCCTTTCTTGAATATTGGCATAACACTAGCATACTCTGTCTTCTGAAATTTCCCTGGTAATCCAAAATTTATTAAAAAATTAAAGTCAAAGGATTAGTGATCTCCTAGGCCAACTCTTTTAGGATTCTTGGTCTGGACCTTTTGGTTTAAAAATGTTTATCCATAGTCGATGTTTAACATCCTCTTTTTAGTTATTAATAAGCGGGAAAATACTTCATCATCCACATTTTGCCTTTTCTGCATCATTACTAACATTCTTACCATCTAGATCTAGTAAGGGGGTCTATACCATAGGAACAAAAGTAATCATTACAAATGTACTTTTAAAATCTCGGTCTTATTGTGCTTAGCTCTGCCAGGTCTGGATTTTTCCACTGATGTATTTAGCTTCCCTTATCAATTTTCTGTTCTTCATAACTTCTAATATATTGGTTGGTATATACTTCCCCTTTTTTTCTATGTTATATCCTTTCCCCCCAATTAGTGCCTTCATTTCCATACTGAACCATGATGGGCTTCTACCCAAAATTGATCTGTTACTTGTTTGTGGATTTTTGGCCATCTAATAAAAGGCAATTTAGGTTGGACAGTAGGAAAAACTTCCTAATTGTCAGAGTGGTTAAGCACTGGAATAAATTGCCTAGGGAAGTTGTGGAATCTCCATAATTGGGGATTTTTAAGAGCAGGTTGGACAAACAGCTGTCGGGGATGGTCTAGATAATACTTAGTCCTGCATTGAATGCAGGGGACTGGAGTAGATCAGTGGTTCTCAAACTAGGGCCGCCGCTTGTTCAGGGAAAGCCCCTGGCGGGCCGGGCCGGTTTGTTTACCTGCTGCGTCCGCAGGTTCGGCCGATCGTGGCTCCCACTGGCCGCGGTTTGCCGCTCCAGGCCAATGGGGGCTGCAGGAAGCAGGGCAGGCCGAGGGGCATGCTGGCTGCCCTTCCTGCAGCCCCCATTGGCCTGGAGCAGCAAACCATGGCCAGTGGGAGCCGCGACTGGTCGAACCTGCAGACACGGCAGGTAAACAAACCAGCCTGGCCTCCCAGGGGCTTTCCCTGAACAAGCGGTGGCCCAAGTTTGAGAACCACTGGACTAGATGACCTCTCAAGGTCCCTTCCCGTTCTATGATTCTTCTTAAACAACTCCCAATTTTTATTCACACTTTTGATCTACTCTTCTCCATTTTAGGAAATCAGCCCTTTTGAAGCACCACAGATATGCTACTGGTAGGGTATATCCTCTGCCTACATTGAACATAACCATGTAGCAACATAACTTAAAAGTCAAATACTGCTTTCAGTTTACATGCACAAGTCCCATGTAAGTCAAAGGGCAACAGCAGAGTTTTATCCACAAGAAGATTAAAACAGACCATATATGTTCATCATGTCAACTATCTGTTTACAATAAAGAATAAATGGCCATTGCAAAGTATAACTTTTTCTCTTTATATGCAACAGATTCTGATCTCATTTGCATTTGAGTAGATACAGAATGACTCAGTTGTGGTTTAACACTTTTCATATTGGCGTGAAAGAGATCAGAATATTAACCACATACTTACTCCCTGTGAGTATTTTAATTCCAATTATTATCCATAATAAAGAATCAAAGTTCCAAAACATTGACTACAGCAGCTCCAGGATTTTACCCATTCCTTTTTTGCCCCGCACTTTATGCTTGACTCACCTATTTTAATAGATGTTGCCTCAGAAGTTCTATTGGGTTTTTTTAAGTTTCACATTAAACATTCTTTATATTTGTGTCAATAGTTGACCTACTTGTTTTTGTGTTTAAATCTGTTTATTGTGCACATCTGTTTTGAAACAGAATGTTTGTTTCCTAATGTATGCATACACACACCTCACTATAAATATACATACACACAAATGCTTCTCTCATTTAATAGCATAGCACACACTTGTTTATTGTTACAGACCCATATAATAACACAGAAATTCAATGGAGAACTGTCCTTTATTGCTTTCTTTTCTTAGGAACATTAGAACTGTTATAACAGGTCAGAGTGGTGGGCCATCCAATCCAGTGCACGGTCTCTGGCCGGGGCTAGTAGCAGATGCTTCAGAGGAAGAGGACAGTGATCCCATTGAGGGTAGTTATGGATAATTTGCCAATAGAGAAAAATTCTCATTGGTAGGAGGCAGGACACCAAGTAAGTTAATTAAAATAGCAGGGTCCAAAAGGTGATTTTTAAAGTCCCTAATCTTAAACTTCAATTTTCTCTCAGATGGTTTGGTAGAGTGGTTTTCAACCTTTGCCATTGGTGGACCCCTAAAAATTTCAAAGGAAGGTGCACACTCCTTTGGAAATCTTAGACAGTCTGTGTGCACACACCCCTCTCCCCCTCCAGTTGAAAGCCACTGCTCTAGGGGAGGGGTTCTCAAACTTTTGTACTGGTGACCCCTTTCACACAGAAAGCCTCTAAGTGTAACCCCCCCTCATAAATTAAAAACACATTTTTATATATTTAATACCATTATAAATGCTGGAGGCAAAGCTGGGTTTGGGGTGGAGGCTAACAGCTTTCGACCCCCCCCCCCCATATAATCTCCCAACTCCCTGAAGGGCCACAACCCCCAGTTTGAGAACCACTGCTCTAGGTTAACAACCTTTCACAGAGCCTGGCTCAGACATAGTCCTTTTCCCCCTTCCCCTCGCAGGGGTCCGCAGACCACAGCTTGAAAGCCACTGCTCTAGAGTCTGGTATCTTCCCCTCCACCGGCTCACAGCCTGGTTCTGCCGCTGTCCCGCCTGTCTCCCAGCAGGTGGCGCTGCTGCCCCTCCAAGGCTGAGCGCCATTAAAGCACAGCCGCAAGAGCTCTTGACATCACACCAAAGCCCCTCCTGCACGCGCCTCCCCTACCCCCGCTCCCCCCAGAGCCAGCATCTCCTCTGGCGAGCCGCCTGCACAGCTACCCGGCGAGGGGGTGGAGCGGGGGAGGGCGAGAAGCACCCCCCCGCCAGCTGCCTATAGCAAGAACGCCTCCTCCTCAGCCAGCCGGAGCTCCCTTTTGAAGGGGGTCCCACAAGCTCCCGTGCAGTGTGTGCAACCACCCCCTGCCCCTGTAGGGAGAGGGAAGCGACCGCAAAGCCAGGAAGGAGCCCGAGGGGGAGGGGTAGAAAGGGAGACGAGGGGGAGAGAGCTACGGAGCAAGGCGCTAAGAGGCACGGAAAAGCCCCCAGTGAAATGCATTACAGCTGAGGTTACCCAGCCAGCTCCCACCCCCCTCCGGTGCCTCGCACGGCCGGATCCCAGCAGCTGGAGCAGCCGCCGCCTAGCCCAGAGCAGGCTCCGGTGCCCGCTCGCACACGCAGCCGGGCCGGAGGCGAGGGGGGAGGCCGAGGAAGGATGGCAATGTCTCTGATCCAGGCGTGCCGCAGCCTGGCCCTCTCAACATGGCTGCTCTCCTTCTGCTTCGTGCATCTGCTCTGCCTGGACTTCACGGTGGCCGAGAAAGAGGAGTGGTACACGGCCTTCGTGAACATCACCTACGCCGAGCCGGCGGCCGGCAGCCTGGAGCTGCGCAGCGAGAAGAGCGAGTGCGGGCGCTACGGGGAGCACTCGCCCAAGCAGGATGCCCGGGGCCAGGTGGTGATGACCGTCTCCGCCCACGACCGGCTGGCCTGCGACCCCCACACCCGGTTCGCCGCCCCGGGCCAGGGCAAGAGCTGGGTCGCGCTGATCCCCAAGGGCAACTGCACGTACAAGGATAAGATCCGGCACGCCGCCGCCCAGAACGCCTCTGCCGTGGTGATCTTCAACGTGGGCTCCAGCAACGCCAACGAGACCATCACCATGCCGCATGCAGGTGAGTGGCAGCGGGGCGGGAGGAGAGGAGCCGCCTCTCCTCACTTGGAGCCCCTAAGGTCTGCCCGCAGAAATCCCTGCTCCCGGGATACGCTGCCCGCCAGTCCGACGCTTTTAAGGCCAGTTGGACCCCTTCGTTCACCCCGCTCGTTAACAGGGACCATGCCTGCTGGTACCTGGTAGCCTGTTTGTGGTGTTACAGCCAGCTTCGCTCGCCAGTCTAGGAGTTTGGTGCTTTGTGGAGATTGGGGAAGAGAATGTCCCCCACTTCCCCAATATCTGGGCTGAGCTGATAGCTGGGGTGGGCTGGACGGACCCTCTTGGTCAGTTTGTATATCAGTTATCCTTGCCAGAAGTTAGCTGTTTCATTTCTGCACAGAAGATAAGTGTTTTTCTGGGCACCTTTACAGGTTGTAAATACTCTTCTGACTGCTGCCATGGAGAGAAATTGACAGGTTGCCAAGACCGATAAATAATAACATTCAATCTGGTGGAAAAGTTCAAAAGCTGTGAAGTTTTGGCTACTTTTGTGGATTTTATGGGACCTGTGGTCCCTTTAGAGGGCAGTTAGGCATCTGTAAGCATTTTGTTGGATCATTAAGATCCGGTGGTCCATGTCAGGCAGGGGCTGTGGGTGAGATTGAGCTCTTCAAGATGTGAAGGATAACATTGTTTCTTAATTACTAGGAGGTTCAGCAAAGTAGGGAATGCAGTGTCTACCATCATCTTTGCAATTATTTTCATCTGTGGGACCAAACACTGTGGAGTATCTGATTTTATGAAATACAGGTGCAGACATTTGTCTCAAATTTTGGTTTCTCATCCTTCCCATGTGTGCCTTTGATGTCTGGAGATGGGTGTTCAGGACTCAAAGAATTAATCAAATTGTGCTATGAGAGAGTCAACATAAACATAGCCATCAGAAATAACAGCAAAGCCAGAACAAACACTGGGTTTGCTATATAATGAAAACATTGTTTTTATAAAAATATTTGTTTTGAAATAGTTGTTTTAAAGATCAGCTAATCAGATTTATTTTTAGGGACAAAGTCTTCTGCCAGGGGCCACTAGTCTCTTATGCCAAGAACATATGCCATGCAGACTAAAATGCCACCTATTAGCGGAATCTCTGGTTTGCATCCAGTAACTAATCATACCCAGCTCTTTCATGCCAGTTTAGTGTTGTTGGGGGTAAATTGGAACATGATTAGGTTACAAAGCATGGATATTTTAATTACATTTTTACGTTTTGCAATAAGCTAGCCAGGATGGATGAGAGGTAAAAGAATTCCTTGCATTACTAACATTATAATAGTGCAGCTATTGGACAGAACAGTTTGAACATATTGCACTCAGTCTTCTGTGAAGAGATTAACTGTTTACTGGAGCAAATTCATATGCTTTTGAGATGGGTGGATTGGATCAGAGGAAGGTTTTTATTTTTTTTAAAATCTTGATATTGCTTAGGACTTTTCATGGCTTTAAAATTAGAGCGCCTAATAGTTTTAAAACTGTTTTCAATAAACTGCATATGGTTTAGTTTCTGTTTAGGTTCTACTTCCTATTACTTTAAGTATTATTATAAGATTATTAATAATAAGATTATTTAGCAGGCAACATAATAGAAGCTTGACATATAGAAATATAAGCACTCTTAAAGTCATGCTCAGGGTATTTCAACACAAAATAGGATACACCATTTGTTCCTGTCTAATAAGTTTCTTTAAAACTGCCAACATGTTGGATCAATTAATGGCTTGCCTGTTTTTGAAGACTGTACTAAACTGTTTTCCCATCTAAATAGTGTTTTATTTAGAAACAGTGGAAGTAAAAAAGTCTTCTAACAATTTAAAGGTTAAAGGCCAAAAGGAATGAAACAAATATTATTTATTACTGTTTGTGCCCTCTGCTTTCAGAAAAATACTAATACTATACCAGTTAACATTGGGACAGCTTCTTTAGTGTTACCTGGCACCTTTGCAGCTTATTCAGAAACTCCTTTTCAAGCACTGCATTGGTTTCCATTAGAAATGCTACTTTCTTAATCAGGAATACCCAGCCATGTGATTCATTTCATTTCAGCGTTTGGGATGGCAGAAACTTTTAAAAAACATTCTTATAAACTATGATCAGTCAGACCATTGAGGCCTTGAAGCTAATTTATTTTTCAAATTAAATTCAAAACTCGTTTTTTCACATTTTCTCAAAAAGCAATGACCATTTTAGTTTTGTGATGCTGAAAAACAGTTCACACTCTTATCTTAGGAAAACGGTGTCCTCTGCACAATTGAAACACAGAGGTATTTTAGGCCCAGGCCTATTAAAACAGAAGAAAAATAATTTAAACATGGTTGTAGGGATATTTTGCTATCTCCTAGGTCCTGCCTAGTTGATATCTGAGGAATTAGTGGAAACCCAGGGACTGATTTATCCATACCCTGCATCTGGTGTAATCATTAATAGCAAAGCAAAGTGAGTGTAAAAAGAGTATAAAATCATAACTGCTACCAATTTGACTTGTTAGCATTTTACACTCACTTTACTCTGGTGTCAATGATGAGACAAGGTGCAGAGCAAGGTTGAATTGGGCTTTCAGGCCAGCCACATCTGCTGTGTGTGTTGCAAACACTAAACTCCCGTAGTGGGAAAATGAAAAGGTTCCACCATGGAAAAATGTAGAAACAGAGATGGTTTTGAAATGCAACCTGGAAGTATTTTAAAAGTCAAAAGAAATATGACACCAATTTATTTTGTACTTTATTTTACCCTTGTTCTTTTCAGTTTTTATATGTAAGGTCAAGTGTGAATTTTGACTTTCCTTATAGCTGTTACCATTTCCTGCTGTATAAATGTAGTGGTTCCTGTCCCTCACTAACAAGAAAATGCTTCTAAGAAAGAGCTTTGGTTTCTTAACACATTCTCTTCTCTGGAATGTTTTGGTTTCTTTTCCCCCCATTGTTTTCTATCTCATTTCCTCTGCTATCATCAGTTTTTCTTGCTGCTTCTCTCCTGCCTTACACCTACCCCCCCCCCCCAGTCATTTCTGCCTATCTATTCTCCATTCCACTGTCTCTTATTTCCCCTTCGCCCAACCCCACATCACTTCCTCTTCTCCCAACTATTTTACCCTATTATATCTCAACTCTTTCCCCCCCACCCAAAACTCTCTATCTTCTCTCCCTCTAATCTGTTGACATGAAAACCATGTGCTGCTGTCTGTGCATACTGATGTCCTTTTCCACTGAGTGACTAAAATGTGTGGCTACTGTGCCTGCATTCTCTTCCGTAATTCAAGATAATAGTTCTCTCTGATATCTTTTTGCAGTTTCTAACAGATTTGAACTCATAGTTGTTAAGGTCATTCTGGTATGTAAGAGAGGTGCTTTGAAAGAAAACAGGTGTTAAATATGAAACCAGAGCCTATCATTGAGCTATTCCACAAACCCTGAGACTTGTATCTGAAAGTTTTTTAGTGCCCCGTTGCTCCAGACAAAAGTTTAGATTTGCATTGAATTCAAACTCTATATTGAAATCCTCACTGTCACAGGCCTGATCCACTGACTTCAATGTGACTTCATTGAGCTTTGGAAGTCTTCCCGCTGACGTCAGTAGGCTTTGGATCAGGCACCAAGTGAACACCACAGGCATGGCAACTTTAATTCCAGTGAAATGTGCAGAAAGACATGCTGATGATTTTTTATTTCCTGATATGTGGCTGATACTTAGAAATGAGGGACAAAACTTAAAATGCTGTTTAGTGAAAGTCAGGTATATATTTTAGCAAAAGGTGTCAAGTTAATGCTTGTTCTTATATTTCTTATATTTTTCAAGTAAATGTAGTTAATGAAAAGTGCCAGATTGATAGGCCTTGGAGAGTGAAGTCCTCTGTGTATTCACAAAATTGGTAATACTTGTGCAAACCTACTTGATCTCTTTTTTTAATTTACCCTTAAAATAGGGTTACCATTCGTCCGGATTCCCCCGGACATGTCCGGCTTTT